TCACGGAGCCCGTCTTCCCCACAAGGCTGTGAGCTCCACTCAGGCAGGGCCTGGATCACCTTGGAGGTCCCAGGCCCTGGCACACGGCCCAGCGCTTAGTAGGTGCTCTGTGACAGTTTCCTGAGGGACAGAGAGCTCCCAGTCCTCCCAGCAGCAGTCCTGCCAACGAGGAAACCACATTTGAATCTGTGCATCCATAACACACTGAGGACAGACCTACTGTGTGCATGGTACACCGAGCCTCAGCCACCAAAAGGGGCCCACAGAAGCCACTCACATGACCCTGTCCACTAGCAGTTGACAATCCCCCAAGGAATCAGGACACGGACAGAGCAGAAGGCTGTCCAAGGGGGAAACTGAGACCTAGGGAGAGGATAGCATGTCTCATAGAGGCAGCTCAGGGCACTAGGGAGGGTGTGGACGCCGAAGGCAGGCTGCCTGGGTTCAAACCCTTTCCCCGGCACTGGCTGGCTGCATGATATTGGGTTGGTTAACCTCTCTGTGCCCCAGTTCCCTCAAGAAATTAGGGGTGACGATAGTGCCTGCAGGGTCACTGGGAGGGGAAATGAGGTCATTCGCATTAAGTGCTCAGAGCCCAGATCTTGATAAGCACTCAACACATCTCAGCCACAGCTTCCTGCTGTCCTGTCAGCTCAGCCACGCTGGCTGGGCTGGGTAATAGGGAGGGTCCCAAGCTGGGGTCAGCCCATCAGGACCGGGGGTTATCTACCCAAACAAGGCACCTCTGAGCTCATCCCGGGAGGGCAGAGCCAACCCAGGCTGCAGGATGTTAGAAATCACTTAAAACACCAACTGGGGGAAAAAGGGGGCAAACATTCTTCATCCCCTCTTGCCCAGCCGGGCTGGTTCTCTGGACCCTGCAGAGGGGCACACAAGGGAGGCCGGGCAGGAAAGTGACCCAAGGACAAGAAGGAGCCAGCCCAGCCCAGGGGACCAACAAGCTACAACTTGGTGGCACCAAAAGCATGTGCTCAGGGAAAGAAGCCAGAAGTGAAGACCACGTGCCTTGCGATTCCAGTGACAGGAAACATCCAGAAAAGGCAAATCGTTAGAGATGGCAAGTAGATCAGAGGTGAACAGGGGCTGGGGGCAGGGGGAGTGCGGAGCCACTGCTGATGGAGTGATGAAACGTTTCTGGAATTAGATAGGGGTGATGGTTGTGCAAATTTGCAAATTTACTGGAAATTATTAAATTGTACACCTAAAGTGAGTGAATATTATAGTATGTACGTTATACCTCTACAAGCTTTTGGAGGGGAGCAGAAAGAAGAAAGAGAGGGAATTGGAGGGGGAGGAGAGAGAGACATCAGTGAAGACAAACGGGGGAGGATGGTCAGGGCTGTGCAGGCTGCAGGCGAATGTCCCCGCCTCGGCCCAGCAGCTCTGATGTCCGCTTGTAAATGGAAACTGCCAGGACACCAGATGGGTAACAGAGCTGACTGACACGTGTACCTAAATCGGGGGCGTGCATTTTTTTTAAAAATTCTAAATGGTCATGAAAAACGTGGCTTTTTCACATTTAGGGCGAAGGCCCTAAGGCAGAGGGGTTAAAGACGAATAATAAAATGCCAAGTTGAAGCTAGATCGCCTCCACCCTGCCCCCTGGTGGTCACTTTGAACACTGAGCCTTCTTGAATTTGGAAGGTAGGATGGAGAAACTGCAGCGAGAGCGCCCCCTGGTGGGCGCTGGGGTCATTTCTGATGTCTCCGGAATGTGGAGGCTTCCCCTGTATGAGCTTAAGCCAAGTTACTTCGCTTCCCCAAGCCTCAGTTTCCCCATAACTTGTGGCGAGGATTCAGAGAGATAACGTGTGTGACAAAAAGCTGCCAATACCCTATGTGTTAGTTGAAGACAGCTGGGTGTGTCTAAATATATATATATATATGTATATATATATACACACACACACATGTATATATATATGCTCCTACATATACAAATGGTGAGATTTCACATTAAGATCAAGGCCCTCAGTTTTGCTTGAAATGCTGGATGGTCCAACCCCTCCCCATCTGCCACAAAGTCCCATCCCTGCCTGGCCTGGCTTCTGCGTGGAGCTCCTGACACAGGACCTCAAAGGAAAGCACCTGCAAATGTGGGTTCACACCCATTAGGATGGCTGTTATGTTTTTTTTAAAAAAAGCAGAGAATAACAAGTATTGGCCAGGATATGGAGAAATTAGAACACTGATGCATTGCTGGTGAAAATATAAAATAGTGAAGCCACTGTGGAAAACAACGTGATGGTCCCTCGAAAAGTTAAACATAGAATCACCATATGTCTTTTGAGCATTTCCACTCCCTGGTATATACTCAAAATAACTGACAGCAGGAACTCAAACAGATACTTGTACACTGAAGTTCCTAGTAGCAATAGTCACAAAAATCAAAAGGTGGAACAACCCAAGTGTCCATTGACAAATGACCAGATAAACGAAATATGGTGTCTACGTACAATGGAATATTATTCAGCCTCGAAAAGGAATGGAGTGCTGACACAGGCTACAATGCGGATGGGCCTTGAAGACATTATTTAAGGAAGCAAGCCAGAAACAGAAGAACAANACAGGCTACAATGCGAATGGGCCTTGAAGACATTATTTAAGGAAGCAAGCCAGAAACAGAAGAACAAGTAATGTATGATTCCACTGATATGAAGTATCTAGAACAGGAAAATTCACAAAGACAGAAAGTAGAATAGGAGTTATCAGGGAGGGGACAGGGAGCTAGTGTTTAATGAGCACAGTTTCTGTTTGGGATGACGGAGTTCTGGAGTTAGATGGAGCTTATGGCTGCACAAAGAGAATATACTTAGTGACTATATTTTTTAAGCATGCTAAAGAGTATGCTTAAAAATTGTAAAAATGGTAAGTTTTATGTTATGTATATTTAACTACAATATATGTATATATTTTAATGATACTGCCCAGATTACTGCAACAGCCTCCTGCTTCCAGCTTATGGTCCTCGACACTTCTCTACACTGTCCACCAGAGGGCGGGCCGAGTCACACCTCTGACAGTGTCCCTGTCATACCTTTCCTGGCTCCTAGGTGCCCCTTATTCTGACCCTGAGGGCCCCTCTCATCCGGGTCTCCCTTCTCCTGCCTCACCTCCATCACTGCCCAGGTAACCCCCTGGAGCTCCTGGAAACCCACATCCTCTGCTTCTTTAAGTATGTGCATGCCATTCCCCCCACATGGGCCAATGCCTTCTTCCACTGAGTCTAGCTCTGATGTTGCTCTGGACTCCTCCAGATGCCACAATACCTCCCTCCTCCTTTGACATCCTCATTTTAGAGAAGAAAAACCAAGGTTCAAGTAGGCCCATCGGAGTCACTTGCCCAAGGTCACACAGTGACAGAACTGGAACGTGAACCCACTTCTTTCAGCCTCCAGAGCCCAAAGCTAAGGTCCGAGTCAGGCTTTGAAGCCATTAGGAAGTGAGCCGAACGTCAGCACCTCCTGGTGGCCACTCCCCAGAATTGCAGACATGAGTCCTGAAAGCAGAGAAGTTAGGTCTCCCCCCCAGCCCCTTGGGGTTCAGGCCCCACCCATCCACCTCTGGAGGAGAGGAAATCAAGCAGGCAGGGGCCTCGGGGCCTGAAGGAGGGAGCCTACACAAGCCATGCGAGGACTCCAAGGACAAAGGCTCCTCAATGACAGCCAGCGAGTGGAAGAGGAGGAGCCCGGCGGCCAGGGAGGGTGCCAGCGAGCAGAGACTATAAAAAGACTGGTTTTAAGTGCTTTTCTCTCTGTAACCTTTGTCTTCACACACACACACACAAAAGTTCAAGTACAATCAGATAAGCTGAGTTGGTGCCACCTGAGAGTGAATGGAGGAAAGGTAAGAAAGAAATCAATGGAAGGGAGCATTCAATGAAAAAACCTGGCAGGTTTCAAATGTGTGCAAGTCTGTAAGCCTGGGGCTGAGATCCCAACGCTTGGGCAAACTTTCCGGGGCTGCTCAGCAGACGTCTCCCGTCTCCCAGAGCTCTGAGTTCCTCTGGCTCTGCAGCCCCAGCCCCACAGTCAGGCTTTTCACTCTGTTGGAGCTATTAGCCCATCAGATCCCTGCACAAACCCTGCCAGGGGCGTCCCCTTCACCCCATTTCACAGAGGAGGAAGCTGAGGTTCCAGGGAGTGAAGTTTCTTGCTCACAGTCACAAAACTGGAAGGAATGAACCTAGGATTTAAATGCTGGGGGATCCCATGTGTCAGAGACATGAGACCAGGCACAGATATTACTGACACGCAGGACACTATGCGAGCCAAAAGGGCCTGTGAGCAGCCCGGCCTGTGGCTCAGTGGTTGAGCGTCGACCCATGAACCATGACCATCAATCACGGTTCGATTCCTGGTCCGGGCACATGCCCAGGTTGCAGGCATGATCTCCAGGAGGGGGCATGCAAGAGGCAGTCAATTGATGTTTCTCTTTCATCAATGTTTCCATCTCTCTCTCTCTCCCTCTCTCTCTCTAAAATCAATAAAAACACTGCCTCCCGTGGTGACCACCACTATCAGGGATTGTGCTGTGTGCTGGGCGCTACACACAGTCTTACTCCGCCCTCCCAGTGGCGCAGGAGAATTAAGAATCACGATCCTATTTTCCAGGTGAAGAAACCGAAGTGCAGAGAAATTAAGTAAATTGTTCCAATAGGCTAAGAGGAGATGGTGTTGGGATTCAAACCCAGGACTTTCAGACCCGGGCATATGTTCCCTTAACGGCCGCATGCCAGGCAGCTGGGGTTACCCTCTGCGTTGGGCCTGAAACCTGAGAGGGAGGAAGGCTTTCTCAGCAGAGCCACCAAATCCCCTCCACGTTGAGAAGCGCAGCAGAGCCAGTCAGACAACACCAGATTCCCCGACAGGTGCCTGCCTGGCCCTGACCCTCTCAGGGTCCACACAGCCACATTCCTGGTGGCGTCCGGCGACTGACACCACCTGAAATTTCACTCCGGCCACGCCAGTGTCACTCACCACGAAGGCCCCGCTCCTCTTGTCCTTGCAGAAGCTGTGGCTTCTCCGGGGGCCCAAGGCCACAGGGGACACCTGCCGGAGTGGCGGCTCACTGTCCTCGAGGGCATCCTCCCTCCCCAGGTCTCGTGATGGCACCTGAGACGACACAAGAAAAGGACTTCACTAGGGTTTTGTCATATACGGGAAGAATATGCCACACCATGAGAGTCCACTCTGTACCTAAAAGGGCAAAAAGAAAATTAAAGCTCCAGAAACTCTCCCCCTCCACCCCACCCCACAGCCTCAATGACGAGAGGTAATATGCAGGATCAGCAATCTGGGTTCAGTTCGGCCCCAGCCATTTAATAACTGTGTGAGCTCACGTGAGTGCCTTAACCTCTCTGATCCTTGACCATGTGGGAAAAGACCAATATAATAACAGCGCTCAGCTTCTAGGTTCCTGGGAGAGCCAAGCGGGGAACGGCACACAGAAAGTATATGACATTAGTGTCGCCCCAGGGGGCGGACATGCACGGGTCCCGGGCACCTGGCTTGCCTCACAGTAGTCACCCCCTCCCGCCTGTCAGCAGGGAGCCCAGAAATGTTAGCCAGCTTTCTTACTGCCACTGGTAACTTCTGGTGACCTCATTTTAGACATCTCTCCATATACAGAACACATGTGCACATATACAGAAACGGTATATAGATAGCACAATACTGCATACGCTAGTCTGAATCCTGTCATTTTTTTCCACGCAGTTATCTACAGGGGATACATTCACAGGCCAGTAAATACAAGGCTCCAGAATGTATTTTACGTGTCTCACACTCTCCCCACACAGATAAGGAAAGGAAAGCCCAGAGAGGGGCGGCGCCTGCTTAAGGACACACAGCACCAGTAGAGAGCAAGGCTGGATTCCCGAGCTCTTGCCTCACAGTGTTTCTCTTTGATGAGACCCTCTGGGTCACCTCTTCCCTCCCTGGCTGGTCCTTCTCAGCCTCCTCGCATCTCAGCAGAAGGTTTAAAGGCAGGTGCATCCCGAGCCAGCCACAGAACAGGGCCTGGCCTGGGGTTAGTGCCCAATTTGCAGTCCAGGGAGAAATCAAATCAGAAAAGTACAAAGGGTTCATCTTCCTAATAAAAAAAAACTCCAAGAGCTCCAGGAGAAAGGGACCGATGCTCCAGGTAAGCAAGCGGGTTACAGGAGGGAAACACAAACGGCCTCAGCCTTGGGGACGAGACGAGGGACACTCATCAGAGATACGAGCTCCAGGGTCTGGGACACGCCTGGCTGGCAGGGCCGAGGGAAACGGGCCCTGTCTGTCGTTGCCGGTGAGGATGTGCACTGGGACAGCCCCGCCGCAGGGCAAACCAGCAGGTCCTGCAAAATGACAGCCTTGTTCACCCCTGGACAGGCGATCGCCATCCTGAGCCCACGGATATGCACTAAGTCCTCAGTGAAAGTCGTCCACAGGGCCTTGGAAACTGTGACTTTGAGCAAAACGACAGATAGCAAAACCACCTGGACCTCAGGCTCACTGACAGAAACAACAGTCCCTACGCCATATATCTGGTTACAAAACCATCACCAAACTTCTAAGTCAAGACCCCGAACACATCTAATGTTCAACACAGACACAAATGTGAGCTACGTTTAAGAAAGACAAATAAACACAAGTAAGATGATGATTTTCTAACCCATTATTCCAGTTTGTGGGTGGCCAAAGCCTCTCCCCACAGCAAAAGGCACAGGGCGGGCACCCACCCGGGACAGGACACCGGGTCCATCGCAGGGCCGCTCAAACCTAAGACGGGACAATGTGGACACACCAGTAACCAAGTGCACACCTCTGTAGTGGGGAGGAAACCAGAGTCCCCGGAGAAAACCCTCGCAGACACGGGGAGAGCATGCAACCTCCACACAGACAGTGGCCCGGCAGCAAAGCCATTTTTCTCTCGTTAACATCATCACAAAACAACGTTGAATGAAATGACATCTTTCCAGGACCTGCCAGACCTGTGCATGTGCAAAATGACACAGGTACACACAAAGTACGTACGTACTAGCTGTGTGACTCAGGGCGCCTCGCCAGACCTCTCTGAGCCTCCATTTCCCCATCCTTGCAGCAGTCAGAAAGAATGAGCCCTCTCCCTCTGTGGGCTGAATCCCAAAACTCTCCACGATGCATTTATGAAAAGAAAAAAGGCAAGCGGCAGATCTGTGGGTTCAGCAGAAAACCTCAACCCAAGAATCCCTGGGGAGCTTTTAAAACTAACCAAGGCGGACCCCACCCAGGAGATCCCTATGGAACTGGCCTGGGGCGAGGCCCCTGCGTTGCTTTCTTTTAGGATTCCCGGGGTTACTCCCATAGGCAACCAAAGTTCCAACCAGTTGCACAGAATTCTCTTTTGGTGAGAAAAGAAAGCAAAAATAAGAATATGCATTCCTACTTGCTTGTATTTTCAGAAACTCTAAAGGAATTTGGACCAAGGAGAATGGAAGTGATTACTGGGTGGGGGGGAATGGAAGGAAGTAGAACTAGAGGTATGGGGCAATTTTTACTCCATATCTTTAAATATTTTTAGAGCTGTGTGAAAATATTCCCTCTTTTGAAACAAAAATAAGTAATTTAATTACATGAAATACAATAATCTGGTGTGGGGCAAAGTTTCGATAAATGTTTAAGTGGAAAAAAAAAAGAGAAAGGAAGGGTAGGAGGGAGGGAGGGAGCGAGCACTTTAATTACAGTCACACCCATGTAGAGTTGAGCAGAACTGGCTGTGAATCAAGAAACCCTCACCCGAGGAAGCAAAAATGTGCATCAAAATGCTCAATGAGCCCTGGCCGGTGTGGCTCAGTGGGTTGAGCATCGAGAGGTCACCAGTTCGATTCCTGGTCAGGGCACAAGCCGGTGTTTCGGGCTCGATCCCCAGCAGGTGGCGTGCAAGAGGCAGGCAACTGATATTTCTCATCCGTGTTTCTCTCTCTCTCTCTCTCTCTCTCTCTCTCTCTCTCTCTCTCTCCCTTTCTCTCTCTCTAAAATCAATAAAAACACTGACATTCTGCTTCTAACTCCCAAACTGAAACCAACCCAAATGTCCATCAACAAGAGTCTGGATAAAACAGTTGGGGCTCAACCAATAAAATAAAGTACTTTGCAACCATTCAAAATAACGAGGTGATTCACTGTTTTTTTACTGTTAAGGTTAAAAAAGCAAGTGGTAAGGTTTTCTGAAGGATGTCGCCGTGTTTCAGAAGGCAGTATGTACGTCACTACACCTCGATCTGTCTCTACCTGGGTCTAGACCAGGGATCCCCAGCCTTGGGGCTGTATCCACGGGAAGCTGGATGACTGTCTGCGGTGGGCCTGTCCTGGGCACTGGAGGGGGTTGAGCAGCAGATCCCTGGTCTTCAGCCAGTCGACGCCAGGAGAAAAATCCTCCCCAGTTGTCACAATAAAAAAGGTCTCAAACTTAGCGAAACGGGCCCTGGGGGCAAACTGTGCAAGACTGAGAAGGAGAACAGTAAATGGGCCTGGAGGGGTGTGTCCCAGTTCCTGGGCCAGACTCCTCCTTTGGGGGGAGATTTTCTTTCTAAACCATGTTTCTATAACATTTTAAATTTTATGCCAGCATGCACTACCTTCTGCAATAAGGAAAATACAACAATTATAAATAAACATATATATGATTGATAAGCAACTCTGAAGTACAGTAGAGTCCCAGAGGACATCAAAAACTGTCCCAGGGGCTGGCTGCATCTGGGAGACAGAAAAGGGAAGGGGCCCCAGGGGGACACTTTTTTAGGCACCCTTGTAAGGTTTGAATTTTCAACCATCATTTCGCACTTCTGTATGGCTTGTATCAATTTTTATTTTTTAAAGAGGGAGAACAAAACATCTTTGGGCAGGAGAGAAGAGAAACAGGGAGCTGGTCCAAGGCCTCCCAGTCCTTAGTGAGGAAACGGATCCCCTGACAACAGTGTTGCTGGGGCCCCGCACACCGCGGGCGGGCGTCCAAGGCCAGGCTGGGCCCTCCACAGCTCGCTGACTCCCCGCTGCCAGCAGGGCCCCTGAGGAGGCACCGCAAACAGCCTCAGTGTCGCATTTCCCCGGTCTCCTCCGTCTCCCAGAGTTCCCACAATAACAGCCTGGAGGAGGGGACAGGTGGGTCCCTTCTGGAGAAGCACCTGTACAGAGGCCAGAGCCAGAGGCCAGGCCCGGGGCTCATGCCTACTGCGTGCCCAGTCGTCTGAATGTGGTCATTGGAAGAGATGTGGGTTCAAAGCCAGAGTCCAGCCCTCACCTTTGGCGAACCTTCCTCTCATGATCTCTATTGATATAATTCTATTGTCTCATTTCCACAACATCCCTTTCCAGGTTGGACCCCTCTCTTTTTACAGATGAGGAAACTGAGGTTGTGGGCACTAAATTGGTTTCCACACTGCCCCCAGAGCACGCCGTGTTTTTTTCCCACCTCCAAGCCTTTGCACACACTGTGCTCCTGCCAAGAATGCCCTCACCTCCCCTAATCAGCTCATCCAAATTCATATCCAGCCCTCAGGCATATGGGCTCAAGCCAGCACCTCCTCCAGGATACCTTCCTGGGTCTCTTCTCCAGTGCCTCACTCTGAGCCGTATCATTTCCTGGCTGTGGATCACTGTGTCCCTTCTCCCCACCAAGATTAAAAGCTTCCTGAAGATACTAGCTTTGCCACTCGGTGCTGTGTGACCTGGGACAGGTTACTTAACCTCTCTGAACCTCAGTTTTTTTCCCATCTGTACAAGACAACCATACCAGCCCCACACTCAAGTACGCAGCAGTGGCAGTGGTGTCCTGCTGCGTGAAAGTTTTTCCTTCCACCCCTAAGCGTGGTGCCAGGCAGGATGGAAGAGTCTAAATGTTAACAGCCCCAGAGACAGCCTCAGGCAAAGACAGAAGCGAACCGGAAAATAAATACTCCAGGTTCCTTGCCCCTGGGACCAGGCAACTCAGGAGTGACCTGTGCTGCTCCACAGAGGTCTCCAGTGAGAATGAGGCTTAGCTGCCCAGAGTGGAGCCTTGATGACTTGCCTTCCCTTCTCCACCTCAGTCGTCCCCCCTCCAACAGCTCCTCCGGGCACCACCTCCTAAAACAACTACTTGCAAGAACCTGCTCTGTGGAAACCCAGACCACAAAGGAGGGATGGCCATAAGGCTCCCATAAGATGGCTCATTCACACATTCGACAAATATTTCTTGAATGTTCACAAAATGTCAAGCAGGGTGCTGACTACTGGGGTACAGTAATGAACTGGATACAACACACTGGAATACAGCAGGTGCTCAATAAATGTTACCTATTATAATCATCATTCTAGGCCGAGGTTTCAAACTGGTGGCTAAATGGAACCAGCAGACACAGTTTTTGGGGGGTATAGGGGGAGCTGAACAGAATTTTTTAATAAGCTGTCCTCATTTCACAATGGGGAAATTACATATAAAAACCTGGATTTTTTTTTTTTTTAGATTCTCTTGATAAATCAGATCTACCATCTCGGGACCACCATTCTCACTCGTCAAGAACCAGAAGGAACTGAGCAGCAATTACCCCTTGAGATAAGGCATGAGCTTTCCATTTGCCACAATTCCCGCCACTCCCTAGGGTCTCACACCCAGCCTGACTCCTCATTTACTTACCCACCTGGCCCACATAGGTTCTGAGTTTGATACCCCCAGGCAACATGTTTAACTAATATTTGACAACACAGAAACAGCCTTCCTACTCACCTTCTGACTGTCTCGAGTCCCCGAGTCCCGCCGACAGGGCCCCATTTTGGTCTCCTTGGCCTCGGAACTCTCCCCAGGCAGGCTGGGCCTCCCTTTGGGCTGCTCTCGCCTCCTCTCTCTGGCTTCCTGCATGATGCACAGGCCCTCTCGGATCTTGGCAGGGGCGCCCTTCTCCGAATAGGCCCTTTTGACGTCCAGGGGTGACCTTCCATAGTATTGTGGGTGGTCACCCCACTGGGCCACGTGGCTCTCCTCTCCCCTCCCAGAGGATCTCCTCGGGGTCCCTTTCTTCTGGTCAGCTGGGGACGATTTAGGCAACACACCGGCTCCCCCGCCAGGGTCCTCCCAGGTGGCTGGGTGATCCTGACGCTTTGCACCATGATGTTTGTTAGCAAAGGCCTTTCTTTCATCCTCGGGGATTCCCAAGATCTTCCCAGGGCCCGCGGGGCCAGGAGAGGCCCCCGGCTGTTTTTCAGGAGCCGTGTGCGGCAGAGCCCACAGAGGAGAGCTGAGCTTGGTGTTTGCGGGGGCCCCCGGGCTCTCGGCCAGCTGCTTGCCAGGGCCAGGACTAGAAGGGTGGTTTGTTTCAGCCAAAGTGGCCTGTTTCCAGGGACCCTCAGCTTCGGGCCATTCCTTCAGGCTCCTCCGCCTCCGGTCCACCCCGCCTCGCTGGCCAGGCCGCTCCTGGGGCCCGCCGCTGGGCTCCGCGGGCGGCCCCTCCACCTGCTCCTGAGCCTCCTGCCTCCTGTACTCGGCCATCAGGGCGTCGATGTCAAGGACGCTGGATCTGTAGCCGCCTTTGATTTTGCCCGGGGACGTCTCGGTGACCGCCTCGGTCCTTCTGACAAGGAGATCGCCGGCTTTCGGGCGACTTTTGAAAGCCGGGGTCGTTTGGGGAGCGCTACTGGGGGACGCCTTGTTCCCACTGTCCCTCTGGTCTTCTGGTCGCCGATGAACACACACAGTGTCGGCATTGATGATTCTTTCAGTAGAAAGATCCAGAATCCTGTCCCCAAGTGGCGATGAAACGCTTGTTGGCTTTGGAGTTTTTGAAAAGCTCGTATTGTCACGTTCTCTGCCCTGAGCCCAGTTTTTACTGCCCCTGGTCTCCGGGGGCTCTTCAGGGTTGAGAGAAACCAAGGTAGAAGTTAAAGATTGAGGTGATGGAGGTGGAGCCGTTTTTCTAGAATGTTCCGTCAACTTTTCAGGCGCTGACTTAACAATGCTCTTTGTCTTTTGAGTATCGGGTATCTGATAGGTCACTGCAAAAAATGTCGCCTTGGGTTCCCCAGAGGACCCCTGCTTCACTGGGAGAGCTGGGTCCCGTGAAATACCTGGGTCCCCATCCTGGGCCTCCACCCTACTGTGGGATGGTTGAGGTTTCCTTAAGGCACCGGCGGTGGGGCTCAGATAATCTGGGCGTCTCTGCTCCACCTCCGAAGGGCGTTCTGGGGGCAGGAAGCTGAACTCATCAAACTTCACGTCGTGGGGTAACGTCCGCCGTCTCCACCTCTCGAATCTCTGGTCCGTGGGGCTCCCCCTCCGCATCCTGACTTCAGGCTCCTGGGCCGGCCTCCGGTTGCCCTCGCCGACAGCCGCCACGATGGACCCCTTCGGCACACTCCCTTCCGAGCCTTTCTCATCACTGACCACCAGAGTGGCTTTATGCCAGTTCCCGGCCACCCCACCTTTCCACTTGGGCGACAGGCAATTGCCCCCGAACGTGTCCTTTGGCTCTCGGGAGTCAGGGTTGGGCCCGCTGGCCTCCTGTGTCCCTCGAGCTTCCCAAATCAGACTGGCCCTTTGGACGGACCCCGTCTGACTGTCCAGCCGGCACTCTGGGTCAGCAGAGGTGACCTCAGAGGACAGCTGCCTCCCCTTTAGCGAGAGCCGGGACCTGCCACTCCGGAGCGTCACAGCTTTTTCCTCGGGCGCCGAGGGGACAGCCTCACTGTGCGCCTGCTCCCTCACCGCGTGCAGGACATCATACTTGGGCTCAACCCTCTGTGACCTGGGAGGGTTTTCCAAGCCCTTAAGTAAAGGGTTATTACTGTGTTTTTCACCCAGAGGGTGCTTTTCCAGGAGAGGCACATGATACTGTTTGGGGTCACCATTCAAGAGGGGAGTCCGTCCCAATTTGTCTGTGTCAGGGTTTTCAAACCACCTGGAGTTCTCTTTCCTGAGGATCGGCTTTTCTGGAGGGTCCTTCCCCAGCCATGAGCCTCTCTCGGGCCTGGATCTGGGCTCCAAGACGTGGGTCACAGCCCCAGGGGGTGCAGCTGAGGGACAGCGTCCCGACTGGTCAGCCACAGTGTGTCTCTCCACATGATGCTCAAACACTGTGGCCCTCACAGTCTGGAAGCTTCCGTCATCTTCTGGAGTGCTGTCTGAAGAGCTCAGGGCCCCAGCCGAGCCTGCACCGTGACAGCTGTTGGGGACTTGGTTAGAACTGTCCTTCTGCGATGCCTGCCTGGACTTCTCCCGGGGCATCCCAGGCTTCCAGGAGCTTCTCGGAGCAGACGGTCCATCCAAACCAGACCCTTCCTTTTGCTGAAAAAAAGAAAAAAGAAACAGTCCACCTTAAGTTAAAGGATTCAAAATGGGAAGGAAGAAGTTAAAACCCCAACAGTGAGATACTATAACAATTTAGAGATGGAACCCATCCAGGGGGACATGGACACCCTCGGACATTGTTGGAGAGAACGTAAATGGGTACGACTTTTGGACAGTATCTGTTATGATTTTACAATTCTCATCTCCTTTAATCCAGCCAGTTTCCTCTCAGGATTCCTTCTTTGCTCCTGAGCACAAGTCTTCGTGAGCACTGACATTCAGAGCTGGCTCACCTTTGTTGAGGATTTAGGATGGGATGGGGTACAGATGGGCTTGGAGCCAAGCTCTGGTGTTTAAAGCTCTGCATAAGTGTCTTTAAACAATGAAACCTACACCTACCATGTGATCCAGCCACTTCCACTCTTAGGGATTTACCCAACAGAAAAAAAAATAGATGTCCCTACAAAGCCTTGCCCACAAATGCTCATAGAAGTTTTATTTACAATGAGCCCAAACAAAGGGTGAATGGACACACTGTGGTAGACCCACGCAATGGAATACTACTCAGCAATGAAAAGGAATGAATTATTAATACATGCTACAATGTGATGAATCTTGAAATAATTATTGTGTGTGAAAGAAAGAAGGCTACAAAAAAAAACACAACAACCCCGGTTCCATTTATAGAACAATCTAGAAAAATGCAAACTAATCTACTGTAACAGAAAGCAGGTCAGTGGTTGTTCCGAGGAGGAGAGGGGAGGGATCACGAAGAGGAAACATGCATGCGCTGGATGTTCATTATCTTGAGTGTGATGATAGTTTCACAGGCACATACATACGTATGTCAAACTAATCAACCTGTATACACTTTAAATCTGTGCAGTTCACTGTATGTCAATTATACCTCAATAAAGCTGCTTTTAAAAATTACAACTCTGCCCGAAGCACTAACCACAAACCAGTTACACCTAGGAGTTATTTTATGAGCTTTTTCTTATGAAATGAACTAAATAAAGGTACTTTTTGAGCAATTTAATTGCTGGTAATTTTCCTCCTGAGGCTGCTTAGGTGAAAGTCAGAGTTAGGAAGGGAGCAGGGAAATCGAAGGGGTTTCTTTACTATTAACATTCTTTAATCTTTATTAATTTCTTCATAAAGCAGGCATTCCTACAGAGGAAAGCCATGTCTCTTTTCCTCTTTGCACGGAAAAAATAAATACCTGGCGAATGAATTTGTAAAAAGCACTTAACACAAAGGAACAGGGAATCACGCCCAGCAGGCCAGAAGGGACTTTAAAAGTCCCGGCATTAAAGGGAAAACTGTCTTATTGCTCATGAGAGGCCTCTGATTCTTTCTGGGTCTTGTAGATCATAAAAGCTCTTCTAATAAGAAGAGCTACCCATAGCCAAACTACCCATAGCCAAACCACCCATAGCCAAACCACCCATAGCCAAACTACCCATAGCCAAACCACCCATAGCCAAACACAACAGCTCCTTACCTTTTCTCTCGGCTTCTTAGCAAGCTCGCCACTCGGCTCCGAGCACCTCTCATACTTGACTTCATTGCTTGATGCTGAACTTGAAAACCTGGTATAGAGATCCAGGTTACTTGGCTGGACCAGCAGCTGCGGCTCCCTCCGTCCCACACCCCATAACTAGCTCAGGGACCCAAGGGTGAGATCAGCGTCGAGATCATGAAAGCAACAGAGCCTGATTTGCTTTGAGAAAAGACATGTCCTTTCTGGTTGCCAAACCAAGAGAGAAGGGCCCAGAGGGGACGGCCTACCTTAAACACAGCATTGTGGGGGGAGCAGGAGCCCCAGGCTTGGGGGAGGAGACCTGGATGCTAGTGCCAGCTCTACCAGGTGGCCTGGAGCTTGGGCCAGGCTTGTGACCTCCTCACCTGAGCCTCTGTCTCTTCATCTATAAAATGGAGATAATTAATACCTCCCTATCGCCTTTTGTAGGGCGGATAAGAGGCTCCTCAAAGCCCTAACAGCCGCGTGAGGGCGTTCAGGGAAGACCGAGGGTGCCCCAGGAGGGATAATTAATGGTTCTTGTTGGCAACCACAGGCACAACAGCAGCCGCACCGCAGACGAGCCATGGGACTCTGGGCAGTGGGCTGTCGTGGAATGTGTGGGGGCAGGAGGAGCCTGTCTCTGCCTCTCCAGGTGACTTTGGCCAAGTCATTGTCCCCTTTCTGGGTCTGTGTCCCCACTTGCAAGGGGGAAGAGGGAGGAAGGGGAGTTGTGAGCTAGAATGTTTCCTTCTCCGGAAAGTTCCTAGAGTGGATGCCTAAAGATTAGTTCGGGGCTGGGGACAGCAGAGAAAAAAAAAGGAGAGAGAAATCAAACCTCTTCAACTTGACCCACACTTGGAGCCTCAGTTTACCCATCTGTCCGATGGGAATAATCCAAGGCACTGCAGGGAGAGGAGGCTTGTGAGGTTCCTGACATTGATGCCCCTTTTTCTGTTGCTCTATTAACTCAGGGGCTCTCAGGCCTACACATGAGAATCCCCTGGGAAGCTTTAAAAAAAAAACAAGATAGGAGCCCTTCTCCCCAGACCCACTAATTTGGAATCTCTGGAGGTGGGACCCAGACAGTGGAATTTTTTCCAGGTGATTCTAAATGCTGAGAGTCACTGGTCTAATTCTGGCCCGGCTGGCTGCCCTAGTTCCCAGGGCTGGGGGTGGGGGGAGTTTGCCCAGAGGTCCTGCCCCCTGGATGTTCCATCCCCAACAAGGTATGTCAGTGGCATGCATGTCATTACTGAGCTAGTGGACACGCCCAGTGGCATCTCCCTGTTGTAACCAAGAAGCCACTTGTGGGAAAACAAAGGAACACGAGGTGTCAGAGGCCAGGCAAGCTTAGAGAATGATTATTAACTATCAGGGTTATTAATATCATTTAAAGCTATAGTGCATTGAAGGCTTCCCATGGGCAGAGAATAGATTCCCAGGATTCTGTCTCTGAGTCTTTACCTTTAAGAAAGGTCTTAGTATCGTGAGATGAAGAAACGGAGGCTCAAGAGGGGAGGCGACTTGCCCAAGTTATCTTGACCCATCTAGTTTTATTTTGCAGGCCCCTCGTGGAGGTTTCAGCCATATATTAAGTGTCCATAGACTTTAGGAAAGGAAAGCTTAGCTATGGAATACATCAGACTCCCCCCAACTTCCTCATGGTGCTTCACCTTTCCTATCCCAGTCTGTGAAATGGGCACAGTATCTCCCAAGTACAAAAATGAGAAGGGGCGAGAAAGCCGAGCTCCTGGCCTCACTGCTGGCACACAGCTCATCTGAGAAATGGAAGCTAAGGCCACTTCCTCTTAAGGCTGTGAGTGAACCCAGAGAGGAGGGGTAAGGTGTCCAGCCTGGAGCCTGGTGCCCGCAGTACCCGGGGGTCCTCTGGTGGGCGGTTTGAGGCAGCTCAGGGACAGAGTGAACCCCATGGGACATTCCCACTTACAGTTTGGTCATATCCGCCGACAGTGGCCGCGCCTGGAAAGCCTTCCTCCTGACCTCCGGCTTGGCCTTGGAGCTCTCGGAGGCCCAGCCTTTGATCCGCTCCTGGACGCTCACCCCTGCTTTCTCCGGCTCTGGAGCAGTCAATGGGGACTCGGGGGTGGCCAGTGGGGCTTCAGACCCCACTGCCAAGGCCAAGGAGCAGGTGCCGTCCTCCCCAAACAGGCTGAGGCGCTTCTTGACGCTGCCCCTCGAGGCCCACTCTCCTCTGGTCCGGATTTCCCCATCGGACACTCTGCTCTTGACCTCGGCGATTTCTTGGCCTTTGTCTGGCCTGGGCGAAGGGGACTCGGGAGCCTTCTGTGGCTCCCCGTCCAGCTGGGCTTTCTCCTGCCCGGGCTTCTGGTCGTCTGTGGAGGTGGCCCTGGCCGAGCCCCCCGCAGTTCTGAGGCTGCCCAGATCCGCCTTGGACATCGCCTTCTCTTTCCGTTCTCGGATCCTCTTGGTCACCTCGAGGAAGTCGGAATCTGCCTCAGAAAGCGGAGCCTCTGCTTTGACCAAACGCTCCCCATCCACTCTGGGCTCCGGGTTGGGCCTCTCGGGCCCCCGACGCTGGGCCGTGGGACCTGCCGCGGCCTGGTCGGCCGCCTTCCTCAGCAAGGCCTCCCTGCTCTCAAATGGGGCCGTGAGGTCCATGGACAGAGGCCGGGGCCTCCTCACCCACGTCTTCTCCGGAGGGGTGGGGGGCGCCTTCCCCATCGCAGCCACCCCGCCTGGGCCTGGCTTCTGGGGCTGAATGGATTCCGTGAAAATAGCCGACACGGGCCTTCTCCTCGGGCGAGGCCTGGGCTCCACGGCGGGGCCACCCGCGTCCTCCACGCCGCTGGCCTTTGACAGACGTTCCTTTAGGCCTGTCTCCTCTTGGGTGGCAGCTGGCCTTGTGTCCTGAGACAGGGAGTCCGGCCAGGGAAGGGTGCCCCCAGGCTTCCGAGCGGGCAGAGCGGGCTTGGCGGCCACTTCAGGCCGCGAGCCCGGAGGGGACTCCTGAGACACGCCTGCCTTGGCCTCCAGGGACACCCCTGCCTTGGCCTCCGGAGCCCCCTCACTGAGCCCCTTCCCCAGGGCAGGGCCGGCCTTGGTGGTTTCAAAGAGAATCAGGGAGCTGGGGCTGGGCCGCAGGGCCGCGGGCTTGTGGAACAGGGACGAGCTTCTCCTCAGCCCCTCCCCGCCGCCCGCCTCCTGCCCCACCAAGCTGGGCATCCTGTCGCCCAGGTCCTTTGCCGCCCCGTCCTGGGGCGACCCACAGGAAGGCGAAGGCCTGGAGGGGCTGGGCCGCAAGGACTCCCCGGGGGGCTTCACGTCCGGGGCCTTCCCCTTGAAGAAGGGCTTGGGGGCGAGTCTGGGCAGAGGCAGCAGGCGTGCGGGGCTCCCGAGGGGGCTCTTTCCTTCCAGGAGCCGCGCTGAGGGCGCCCCGGAGGCGTCACCGGCCTGGCAGAAGTAGGTCCGCTTCAGGGTCTCCTCCTTGGCGATCTCCCCGAGGCCTGGCACTCCTGTCAGGGACGCTATGGAGCCGACTTCGACCCGCGTCGCCATGGTTACGGTTGAGGATCCATGGGGATTCAAAACATCCGAAATGCAGAAGCCACTGCTAAAAAAAATAAAAAGGAAATTTAAAATTCAGTCAGCGTCCTGGTGGAAGCTGACCAGAGCCCCGAGTTCTGGACAACAGCTCCCCACCGACGTGGCCGGGCGAGCCCGGGCCAGCCTGTCCACCCCTCTCACCCTGGGCAGGGGAGCGGGCTAAATGGCTGTTTCCCAAGCTCCTTCCAGATCAAAGGGTGGGGGGAAGGCGCCAACATCCACCAGGACCTTCCCGACCCAGCTCATCACAGGCCAGCTCCTAGGGTAAACAGTGACCCTCTCTGCTGGACGGACCAGGAAATCAGCTCAGAGACGCCAAGTGACTGGCCTGAAGTCACTCAGGACGTAAGAAGCAAAGTCGGGATTCGAACCCAGTCGCACTCCACACTCACACTGCACGATCCCAACACAAGCCCCAGTGACAGCTCCCTCGAGTTCCTTCACTCCTGCCACTAACTGTTTTCCCATTTCAGAGCTTGCCCGCCAGGCCTCAGGCATCCCAGGGGATCCTTGGCAGGACCCTGTGCTGAGCACCAAGCACAGAGAGGGTAAGTGACCAGCCCCAGCTCACACAGAGACCCTGAGGTCACAGAGTTGCTGAATGGCCACAGAACCCAAGCCTCAGGGCCCACCCCCAGCAGACCGTCCCTTATGTTCCCCTCCCCCACCTTTCCCGATGCCTGAGGAAAAGCCATCCTGATTTTCACTGACCTACGGTCACTTGCCTTTGGGTTTTTTCTCTTGAACGCCTGCTTTACGCTGGCTGCCTTCACAGTCTCAGTAACAGTAACAGCTAACGGTGAGGGCACACCCGGACTGAGGCCTCGAGGTAAGCCAACGCTTCCCGTGTTTCACGAATCACATCTTCCTCACACCCTGTGAGGTGGGTATGGCGCCCATCAGACCTCATTTTGTGGCTCGGGCAGAGCCCCTTGTTCATCCAGCTGTGTATGACCTGCTCTCTCAACGCAGGAGCCTTCCTTTCTCATTAATCCTCCAACAACCCCAAGGGGCAGGTATTATCGGTGTCTCCATGATAGAGATAAAGGGAAAGGGCCCAGAGAGGTCGTCTCGCTTGCCCACATCACACAGCCGAAATTGGACCTCAACCCATTCAACTCTGCCTTTTTAAAAATTATGTTTCACCCCTTTCTGGTCTTAAAAAGTGCCAGACAAGTCACTGTTCTTGATTCCTCCCACACCTGCCCCACCTACACACCCGTGTTCCCCAGCCTGCCCCCACCTAGACGGACTAACAGCAGGAGGCATTTTAGTTCAATGGAAGCTTCCCGCTTCCCTCCCCAGGGCCCGCACTGCTGCTCCCGGCTCTGACTCACCCAGCAGCCTGCAGGAAAGAAAGGCAGACAGATTTTGATATTTTTTTCTTCCTTACACGCTTGATGGTGCTAACAGATTCCTTCTCCCCAAACCCGAGAACACTGTCTAGACATGTCAGACGCAGAAAAGAGGGACAGATACGGAGAATCGGGGAATCTGAGAAAGGCAGAATTCTCTCTGCAGTGGCACCGGGGGTCCTGCCCAAAATCAGGACTGTTCCCCTTTAGAGCCAGCCCCCGTGACCTCTGGAAACCCTGCTCAGGGACACAGACGTAGCCCGAACATGAGACACAGGGCAATAACAGGACTCAAAGGACAGAGAACATTCCCCGGCAGAACTCACAGGCGCCCTCCACGCCCGGCCACTCCAGCCCCACTCACCCAAGCTGGCAGGCCCTGGCTGGGGATGTGTGACTGCCAGAGAAAGCCACGGGTGTCACATCTCATCGAGAACAGGGCTGTCCCCACACTCCCATGGCAGAAGCCAGCGGGGGAGGGAAGGCTCACCCCTGCAGACTGAGTTTCAGCAGGTCTGGGAAGAAACGGACGACAGCCTCGATTCCGGAGTCCCAGCGATATGGGCACAGACGGTGCCAAAGCTCGGAGCTCCAACTGTGTCCGCCGGCATCTCCTCCAGCCTGTCAAACTCACGCTCCTTTCGGCTTTTCAACGACTGCAGCCTAATACATACATGCGCGTAAGGAGTGCTGAGTCCACAGTAGGTGCTCCATAAAAATCTCCCCCAACCCTCTGATGCATGTTTACTGAGCACCTACTATGTGCACAGAAATGAACAAGAAATATCCCCTGCTTTGGGGGAACCTAGCACATACACAAACAATTACAACACTGGGCAATAAACATCAGTTTATAAAGGGGTACATGGGAACACAGGACTAGGATTAACTGCCTAGAACTGAGAATGGTGGTCCCAGAAGGCTCCCTCAGCTTAGAGGAGGTGACTCCTGAACACTCGAGGTGCTGACTGAGTGGGAGCTGCTTCTCCTGCTTCTCCTGCTCAGAAGTGTTTGTGCATTGCATCTCTCAAATGCCTCCTCAGGGCCTTTGCACGTGCTGTGCCTGCTCTCTGAGATACCCCTCTCGCTCAGAAACAGGCCCACCTCTGAGATCACAGCTCAGACATCCCTGCCCCCTCCTACCTAGTACAATCTCCCTCTTACATGTCCAAGGAGCCCCACAGATACTCCGCAGGCCTCATCATAGCTACAGTTACATTTCACAGTGCATGATACTTCCGTTCACATCAGTACCATTCCAGGGTAAGCCCCCAGGGGGCACCCTGAATCCCCAGCAGTCAGCACAGGGGCCTGGCATATAATAGCACCAGCTGCATAATTACTGAGTGAATGAAGAAATGAAGAAAGATTTCCCTGGCCCTGCTTCCCACTCTTCTAAGGTTCTGAATATGTGTAGATGTCATGAATTTCATGACACTAAACATTCTAGGACATATGATGAGTTTCTCTGGCTCTGGAACCAAAGAGCTGTGGAGAGTTCGCTGGAAGCTCAGCCTCACCAAGAGGAGCCTCCAGTCTCACCGGACCCCAGGAAGGAGACCCACTGTCTGACACCTGCTGCGACCCCATTAACTGCACACTGTCACACCAGCTCATCTGCCCTGCCGGAATGTGGAATGAACGCTTCTCTGCGTCGCTCTTCCTCGGAAGGGAGTCACCAGGAGCAACCTCTGCCGACCTAGTGGATCAATGGTGCACAAATGTCCACCCCACTTTGGGGTCAAGGAACCCATCTCAGTATTGCAAGGAAGGAAAAAGAGAGTCAACCTGTCTGGGTAGCTCAGTTGGGTCCTGACACACTGAGGTTGCGGGTTCAATCCCTGGTCGGCACACATACAAAAAGCAACTAATGAATGCATATATAAGTGGAACAGCAAATCGATTTCTGTCTCTCAAATCAATCAATAAAAAAATTTTTAGAAAACAGAAAAAGGGAAAGACAAGAAAAAGCCTCTTGGTGCACACCCCTCTTAACCAGAGCAGTGTCTCTGTTATCTGGAATCTGCTTAACATTTTGGGGTTTCCTCTCAGGTTTCCATTTAAAATGCCTGGCAAGTTCCTGGTTTATAAATATGGTTGCATGAATGAACCCATGAATTAATTAATAAATCAACGAGCAAAGGGGGAAAAAGGTTTTCAACCGCCAGAGTGAACGGCTAAATAATATTTTGAAGTCTTTCCCAAACCTAGAGAAGCCCATGATTCTCAGGCTTTCACTTAACCTGTGATAAAATACAAAGAAACTTAGTGAAATACGCGCTTTAAAACCCTACTTTATATGCATCACATATGTTCTGCTTAATTTAGTCTCTTCTAAAACATTCTGGAAGCCCACTTGCACAGTGGCCACATGCTATGCATTCCTGGAATGGCCTTGCCTGCTTTTTAAAATGTTATCAGTGCTACGGCCAAAGCCAGGTACACAGGAGCTCCCTGAAGAAAGATGGAACGCTGAGTATGAGCCATCTCTTTTTTAAAAAAAAAAAAAAGATTTTTTTAATTGATTTTTGAGAGGGAGAGGGAGAGAAACATCCGTGTGAGAGTGAAACATGGAACAGCTGCCTCCAGCACGCCCCCTACTGGGGATCAAGCCTGCAACCTGGGCATGTGCCCTGACCGGGTACTGAACTGGCAACCCTTTGGTGCACGGATAACAACTAACCAACTGAGCCACACCGGCCAGGGCGAGCCATCTCTCTTTTAATCCTCATGGAGGTCACCCTGGGGGAGAGGCGGGGAGCAAGGCTGACCCGGGATGCCAGGAGGCTGCACTAGACCAGGAGACACAGGATGTCAGTCAGACCTCAAGCACCTGGAAGCAGGGGGTGGCGATGGGTATGTCTCTGCTTTTGCTAAACCTGCCAAGTCCACAGGCTTGATTTCCCTGAATTGATTTGCAAAATTAAAATTCCACTTCCTGTAATTTTATGCAGAGAAAAATAATTTTTCCTGGGAATTGAGTCACCACGACCAATAGTTGCTGAAATCAGACAGGCATCATTCAAGAGCATTAATTTTTTTCATCCATCCTTCTGACCTTCCTTCCACACCCCGGGCCCTGGGCTGGGTGGGGGCTGGGGGCTGGGGGTGCAGCCACGGAGCTCAAAGTCTCCCGGGAGATCCCAGAGAACCGCACGGGGAGGAGGCCAGGGGAGCGCGTCCATTCAAAACCAAACAGTTTGGCAGCTTTTTGCTGGGATTCGGAGGCGTTCATTCACTCCAACAGCTGTTGCCGGTTCTTCACTATGACGCCCTCAAATGCGCTCCGGGAGCTCACCAGCCACTCACTCGGCCACCCCTGGGTGCCGTGTCCTGGGAATGCCACCATCTGGCGAGGGGCATGGGCCAGTCCCCTCCAGCACCTTCCGGAGTGTGACCTGGGCTCCCAGGTCTGCATCTGTGGGGGGCACTGTGCAAGGGCCACGTGCACGCCCGTGTCCTCCCAGAGGAGCCGGGACGCAGAAAATGAGGCTGGTTTGTTCACCCGCAGACTTCAGATGGAAGGGGCCCAGTGTCTCCTGTCGCCGGAACGCAGGCATCCTCTCTCCTCCGTCCCCAAGGCTGTGTCCTTAGCTCATTCATTCACTCACTCATTCCAATACGCAACTGCTGGGGACCCACTATGC